TTCAACTCACATCTTTTTTCAATTCTTCTTTTCTTAACCACACTCTTTTTCCGTTTCTATATTCCACCATTGTAATCCTAAAACTCAGGTAATTAATCATTTTTTAACTTTATTGTTCTATTCTAAAAATAATTCGGTATTTCTTTTTTCTTTTCACCGTTGACGGATATCGTGATTGAAATCGTTTGCCGTTTTCACATTGTGGATTTTTTGCCCCTTTTTTTATTCATACCAAAAACTAATTTCTATTTATATATATATCTTTTTTTTTCTTTTTCGATCCTTTCTTCCCTTCGAATTTTTCTAGTTCCCTTAAATTTTCCAATGTTTAATAAAATGCCATTTTAATAACATTTTTAATTACATTTGAATGGGACAATACATTATTATAAAAAATATGATAAAAAAATATTATAAAAATTATTAATAAAATATTATTAATAAAATATTATTAAAATTATTATATAAATAAAACTATACAATAACAAGAAAAAAGTCTTACAACTCATCTTTATCCCCGTCTTCCTTTTCATCATCATCTTCTTCATAGAACAAATCATCAGTTCTTTGTTCCTCATTACCGACCTTTTCGTCTTTAGTGTGGTGAATCGCACCATATCTTCGAAGAATTGGATGAACGACTCCTTCGAGCTTTTTGTACATCTCGTTACACTTGTCAGCTGTTGGGTGCATTTCTCTTTCCAAATATTCCAGCACCTCGTCGACGTTTTGTATGACCAACTCCTTTTCTTTCTCGCTAAGTTTCTCTGCCAATTTGTCCTTGTCAGTGACTTCGTCTCGCATTCGATATGCAAAATTTTCCAATTCATTACGTGCGTCGATGTTACTCTTTTCTTTTTTGTCTTCTCCTTCTCTCATCTTAGCTTCTTTGACCATTTTATCAATTTGGTCTTGGCTAAGTCTTCCCTTTTCTGAAGTGATTGTGATCTCCTCTTTTTTGCCACTTTTCTTATCTGTCGCAGACACTCTCAAAATCCCATCAACATCAACTTGGAACGTCACTTCGATTTTCGGGATCCCTCGTGGCGCTTTCTTGAGTCCCGTTAACATGAAATCTCCTAACAAATGATTGTCCTTTGTTAAACTTCTTTCTCCTTCAAACACTTGGATCTCAACTTGTTGTTGATTATCAACATGTGTAGTAAACATCTGTGACTTCTTCGTTGGAACATGTGTCCCTCGGGGTATCACTGGCGCCATAACACCTCCAGCAGTCATAATCCCAAGCGTCAAAGGGGTTGCATCTACCAATACTACATCACTCGTCCCAGAACTTTCTCCCAATACAGCTCCTTGAATCGCTGCTCCATGCGCAACAGCCTCATCCGGGTTCACTTCCGTATTTGGTTCTTTCCCATTAAAGAATTCCTTCAACAAGTCTCTAACTTTGGGTATCCGTGTTGACCCACCTACTAACACTATTTCGTCGATATCATCCTTCTTCACTTTAGCATCATCAAGTACCATTCGAACAGGTCCCATAGTCTTCTTAAACAAATCCATATTAAGTTCATTAAACCGTGCACGGGTCAACACAAAACTGAAATCGACATTTTGGACTAATTGCTCAATTTCTATCTTCACTTGTTCCTCCATAGATAACGCTATTTTCGCTTTTTCACTCTCTTTCTTCAAGCGACTCATTGCACGCGCACTTGTGGTCGGATCCGCTTTATACTTCCTCTTACATATCTCAACTAAATACTGCGATATCCGTTGATCAAAGTCAGACCCACCAAGGTGCGTATCTCCAGACGTCGCGATAACTTCAAACACATTACTTTCTATATTAAGAAGTGAGACATCAAAGGTTCCCCCTCCAAGATCAAACACTAAGACTTGCTTCTCCCCTTTGAAACTGTTTAACCCAAAAGCCATCGAAGCAGCAGTGGGTTCATTCACTATCCTCATCACGTTCAACCCCGCAATCGTCCCCGCGTCCTTTGTCGCTTGTCTCTGCGCGTCATTGAAATACGCCGGAACTGTGATGACTGCCTTTGTCACATTAAACCCTAAATACTGAGCAGCTATCTTTGCCATTTTGTGTAAGATCATCGAACTGATTTCTTCGGGAGAAAAGAGTTTTTCCTCGTTCTTGTAAGTCACTTGGATGTACGGTTTATTCTCTTGGTCAACTATTGTGAACGGAAAGATTTTGATGTCGCGTTGGACTTCTTTGTCGTCAAAAGTTCTGCCAATCAGCCGTTTGATCTCAAAAACAGTGTTTCGAGGGTTCTCAGTTATTTGATTCCTCGCAGCCTCACCAACCAAAATATCACTGTCCGTGAAAGCAACTACAGACGGCGTGATTCTATTGCCTTGGTCATTCGCAATTATTTCTACACCGTTGTCTCTATACACCCCAACTGCAGAAAATGTTGTGCCCAAGTCTATACCAATGATCACATCACTTGAGTTCTCCGCAGGTTCTTCAGAAAAGGCCAACAAGAAGAGGCAGAGAAAAACACAGAACATATGGTTTTAGAGTTCTTTTTGAAAAAGTTAGTAAATACTATATTAAATTAATAATTATTTTAAGCAATTGACACGTTTTAATTAATCACTTGTAAAATACATTATTAAAAAATGTAAAAATTTTTCGTATTGTGTGTATGTAATAACAGTAATAATTCATTCAATCAAGTATGATATAAAACTTCTCTTCGAGCAATCAAAGTGTTTCAGTTTGTGGTTTAACGGGTGTGATATCAGTTTGTTCTTGTAATTGTTCTTTTTGCTCCTTAATTTTGTCATCTTGTCTTGTTTCAATTTGACCATCATTTTTTTCTTTTGGCGTTGTGGTGGGCGACACAACAGGGGTTTGAGTTTCACACTTTTGTGTTGTTGTTTCTATGACCTTTTCGACTTCTTTTTCTTCGCATTGTGGTGGCATGTTTGTTTCAGTTTCCATTGCGTTGGCTTTATTTTGTTTATTATCTTTTACCTCCTCAGTGCTTTGGTGATTAATTTCTTTGTCGATTGTTTGAAGTTCAACTTTCTTAGAAATCTCCAACTGATTTTCTGATGTTTGCACTTCAACTTTCTGTTCTTTTTCATTGACACTGTCATCATCGATGCACACAATTTCTTTTGTTTTGGAATTGACGTTGATCTCCAAAAATCCGTTATTGAACGAATTGTTGTCCTTTCTCTTTTTGTTCCAGTACTTAATCCAATTAATTCTCTTCTCACAAAAATCGTCAGACAAAGTGAGAATTCTTCCAAGCAAAGAGCTCTTTTTATTGTACGTCTTTTTATTCGTGAAAAATAGTGCAGCGTACGACATCTTAAATATGAACTTGATGTACGGCCATTTGTATGATGAGATCGACACATCGTTGCTTGTATCACAGGGGTCTTCGATACTCAAGTTTTGCAAACTCGCGTCCCAATGTCTTTCCTCTCTCGAAAAGTTTCCTGTAACCGACAAACCGAATTTTCTCGAGTCGAATTCGGTGGCGTAGTACTTCAAAAATCTTAACAAGATTGCACCCCCTCTTTTGTCTTTCAAATCAGACCCCTTTTCCCTGAAAAAACAAAACACCATCATGAAGAGAGAGTAAGTCCCAAGTCCACCTAGGGCCGGGAGGTTGAGTTCATAACTACTCAAGACAGTTTTGATTATAAACAACAAGGGCCTAATCAACGCGTTTGATTTCATTTCCTTTTCCATCCACCTTACTGTATCGACTCCACTTTCATTGTTATGTGAGATGTCCAAAACAATTCCCGTTTCTCTATCAGTAAGTTTAATGACTGGCACTGTCGCTCTCAGTGCTCTCTTCTCGTCTTCCATCGTATACAGACTGAGTATCCTCGCGACGGAATTTAACACCATATTTGTCTTCCCTCCCTTAGTAACAACAGTGAAATCAATGTCGCTCGATGGAAGAAATAGTTTTGACTGAGTCGACCCAAACGGCACAACTTTGATTTCGGATTTTTTGTCATTCTCGATAACTCGGGTGTACTTTTCTAATACATAGCGTCTGATTTCGTATTCAATTGGATTTGGCTCAACGTAATGGTAAAGTATATCAAACTCGTCGTCCAAAGTGATGTCACCCCCTTCATATTCCAGCCATTTGGGTACTTCCATTCCGACTCGATAATCTTTTTTTTAGATTTTAAGAAATTGATTATGAATTATTTGATTTAATAAATTATACTAGTGTTTATAATTAACAGTATATTAGTCTTAAAAACTAATCATAGTTGTATTGAATATTTGCTTAGTAAAATATTAAATTAAACTATAATATTTAATTTGCATTTCGATTTGGTGGAATGGTGTTACGTTTAAGGGATAAAAAAATAGCTAATTATTCTTCTTTTGAGACAACTCCACACTTTGAAAATATTTCAGTATTTCAAAGAATGTTGGGACGTTTGCGTCCTCACACGAAGTCCAATCCTCTTTGACCACGTCTTCAAGTGTCGCAATTTCTTTATTGGGTAGACTTGCTCTGTCGACAGCAAGTCTTCTTTTGAAAGCACACTCATCACATTCACACTCATCGTCGTGGTCGTCGCTGTCATCATCGCCCTCTCTGTACATTGGGTTTCTCAACTTCATCTCTCTCTTCTTTTCAATCGCCTTTTCTCTCTTTTCTATTTTGTGTACTTTAGGCAATTCGTCGACCCCAAAGAACTTTGCGTCAATGATATGTAAGATGCAAGAAACAAATTTGGGCGCTCCTGTTGCTTGGAGAGTTTTAATGTCGTGCAAGACGTTTTGTCTTTCGAGGAGGTTCTGAAGGGTTGTAAATACTTTATTCAAGTAAGGTATTGCCATGAACAAAATGATAACACCTTGGCAGACTCGATTTTTTCCGTTGTCACCGTCGTCCACATTGATGTAGTGACTTAAACTATTGAAATAAACAAATTCGATAGTCCCAAAAAAGATCAAAGAAATGACAGTGTCGATCGCACACCATTTCATCGAGCGGTCAAAGTTATTTTTCGAAGAAAAAGTAAGGAAGTCGATTATTTCCTCGTTGCTGCAGTTTTTAACAATGTCCATTCCAATAACAACATTTTTACTTTCATCAACACCTGTGAATATCAGCGAGAGGTAATCCGAGAGTTTCACATCCAAAATTTGAATATTGAGCTCTTGACACTTCTTGACAATTTCCGTTCTGAGTGCGCCTTCGGGGAGGGAATTTTTGGACTGTTGTGGTAGAACGACGTGAACCATAATGACTTCGACGATGAAATAGTACATGCCAAAAACTAAAGTACCACCAACGAGAAACAGATAATGGGTTGCAAAAAAGTGGAAAAGGAACGCGATAGCCACATTGATAACAATAAACAAATTCATTTTTAACATGTGCTTACCAACTTCGACAATTCCCTTTTGATCCTCGTTTTGGATAAATTTCGAAATGAGGCGGAAAGCAATTGGGGGAATGTCTATGATGTACAAAAAGATACTCCACAGCGCAACAAATGTTAAGTCGCTTAAGAGAATTGACTTGAACGACGTTTTAGTGAATGTCCAATGAATCAACCCACTCAACAAAACTACTGAATACACTACTAAATAATATGATTGACAAAAGATTTCAACGTAACATTCTTGTTGTTTGCACTCGAGTAATTTTGGAAGTTCAGATCTTTCAATGACATTATACGTTTCTGTTATTTGAACGTTCTTGTAAAATATGTAGCGTTTCACACTTTTCACAACTTGGAATGAAATACTCCCGATTACTGTCTGTCACTTTTGTTTTTGTTAGAACAGAAACTGATTCATGATCTATTGTGACAAACGGATAAGAAAATAGATGAAATCTAAGTCCATATTATATATAAACCCTTTCAGTTCTTTGTTACTTCAAAATTTTTTAATCGCTAAATAAATTAATATAAAAATAGTAATTATACTATATTAAAATTGTTTTTTATTATTAGTACATTGTAATAAATTGTGTTATATTTTTTTAGTTTCATTACATATCAATTTTAAAATTAAATGAGTTTTTTTTTTATTTAAACAACAAATTATTTTAATAATAATAATCATTGATATTAGAGTACAATTATTGAAGTTAGTGTTATTTTATTTTATGATAATATCTCATTCTAATAAAAAAAAACTTTATAATTTAGTAACAATAGTATTTTATCTTAGTTTTTATAATTTTAAATTAATTAAAAAAAATAATAATCAATTAAACAATTTTGCTTATTTATTTGAACTAATGATGTTAATTTTTTTATTACAAATAATTATATAAATGATGAGGTGGTATAAGACCAAATGAACACATTAAATGATGTTTATATTTTGGTGCTATAATAAAACATCAAATTGATTTTAATAATTATAATGATGGGATACATCCCAAAGCCACCACAAATATATTCAGCTCAAGGAGTTGGGCAACTTGAACAACAACAGCAGAATAGTTCCACACAAAATTTATATCAATTACATCAACAGATGCAACAAATATATCAAGATCAAATTTATCAACTTGAGGCATTTTATAGGAAACAAATAGATACATTAAATAACGAGAAATCACAGTATATTGTGTGGTGCGAACAATGCAAAAAACAGAACACAGATTTAACAGCAAAGAACCAAGAACTAACAAATACAATTGAAAATCTCAAAACCCAAGTCGCTGAGAGAGACGCCTTAATATTTCAATTTCAACAACAACAAAACGCTTTTGGGATTGACAAATTTGAACCAACACAACTAAGTTATAATCAACAAGATAATGCCACATTTTTGCGAAACTTGGATTTACCACAACAATTACACTTACAACAGAACATTATTCAATTAACCCAACTTGTTCAAACAGACACTCATCAACAAATGTTATTTGAGTACCCCAAATATATAAACACTGATAATACCGTGACACGCGAACAATTTTTGAAAATACGAAGAGATAAACGAGTTGAAAATATCAAAAAGCAAAAGACATACTTCGACTCAATGAAAACAGAAAATAAACAGGTGGTTCAAATGGTGTTTGAAGAAGTCTTTGTTCGATCATCAAAACTAATTTTAGTTGACGTTCAAAATAATCAACACTTCAAAAGAGTCGTTGCAACACCAATAAGTACTTACAAAGCAATATATACTTATAACTCTTACGAAAAACGTATTAATATCAACGTGGACAAAAAGACACACTATTCTTTAGAAAATGATAATGTTGTGGTTTACACTATAACAAAAGAAGAACTCAACAACTTCAAGGATAATCAATTGTTCATTTTATTACCAAATCGAGTGATGTACCGTGTCATCGAGAACAATTTAATTCGGGACAAAAGGGTTGATTTTATTACGGAAAATGGAATAAAAGGATGTGTGAAATTGATTGATAAAAAAGAGGAGAAATTTGAAAGGAAGGAAGCCAAATGCCCGCTAACAGCTAATTCTAAAGATGCGGAAATTGGGGGACATGACGATTTTGATCCAAATGAGCAATTTACAGAACAAACTTCAACTGATGAAACAGATGAGGGTTGGCATACTGTGCATTCTAAATCAAAATTTAATGAAAGAAAAGAGAAACAACATGTCAATACCACCCCACACAATCAAAGTGTTGTTGATCATGATTATATGAGTAAAAATAAAATAAATAAATCCAACACACAAACACAAAGTAATGCTATCCATCCACACCAAATTCAAAAATATGTTAATGTCCCAGTATCAATCGTTGCGCTTAATATCAAAGATTTTTTCGTGCATTTTAATGACAAAGAAAATGGAGAAAATTATTTTGATCCACATGATTTGTATCCAAATGGGCAAGATGCTGGCGAGGTGAAATATTTTCCAAACAATGAATGTGATCTTATATTTTTAAATGATCATAAATATATGATGGTTGTAGACACAAATTGGGTCAACCAACAAGATGTTCAAGTGAATATGTTTGGAAATACGTTTAACATCAAAACGCAGTCAAAAAGGTTTGATAAGTGTGATACTCAATCTATAAAAATCAACAATATTAACTGTTACATATACATTACTTACGTCTATGGAGTGTACTCCTTTGGGGAACAAGGAAAAAAACTCTCGAAATGGTCCAAAGACAAAAAAAAATTTTGTGAAAACAACGTACTAATTCAGAAAGAAAATAATGACACTGGGGTCTATTACTACCGCTTGACTGGAATGACAATGGATCGACTTTTTAAAAATTGTGTGAGTTACCTTTCTCAATGCGAGCCCGTGTTTCCAATAGTGGTGAAAGACGTTGGAAAATTTGATGTTGCTTTTGATATTGGAGACAACAGGATGTTGTTGCTCCACGTCACAATTAATTGAGTACTTTTTTGTTTTGTTTTTGAATACTATAATTGTAAATAAAACTATTAATACAATATAGTTTTCCAAATAAACTAATAAGTAATAAATTTTAATTATAATTTCTTTTGTTTAGCTTTTGAAAAACATTTAAATGGCGTTATAAGTTCGTTCGCCATTTTTTTGCTTCTTGTGGGGAAAAAAAGACACACCCAAAAATTTTTCTTATACAATGCTTTTTAGCACTTGGCTGTTCAGTCCGAATAAATCGGGAAATAATTCGAAACATCCCAAAACAAACGTTATTTTGCACTTGTGGGAAGCCAAGATTATTGATTTTGATTCCACGAATGGGTTTCATTTTTCCAATCAAACACAGCGAATCTATTATATTACGCAATTATTGATATTTTAGTTTCCCTTTGACAAACTTTTTCAAACTAAAAATGGAACTTGAAGGGAAAAAATAAATCGCGACGAAGAAGTCAGTAGCTGTAATGTTATTGCGTGTTATGAATAGCTTAAAACAACTGTTCTATTTATATAAATACTGGTTGACTGTGCTTTCTGTTTTAAGCATTTTTTCAATTTTTTCAAAATAAAATCGGAACAATGTTTAACCCCCAGATGGTCTATCTTCGGATTTTTTGTCGCTATTTACGTGTTTTTAGAGACACTTTATATACGTTGGTGATTATTGAAACAAAAATAAATACAAGAAAACAATAATAAACAGCTGTAAATATCTATGTCAACTCTTTCAATATCAATGATGATGTTGATCAAAAGTCTTCTGGTACCCAATTGAAAACAGTGCTAAATTATCTGTCTTTTCAATGTAAATAAGACTTACAAAGTTAACGAATTACTATTAAAGAGCAAACCACAAGTGCATTTGAACAAGAGTTTGGTTAGTATTCAGTAAAAAGGTCTGTCTGTTTATTCATATATTGACAATAAAAAAACTCGCCAAACTGTAGAAAAAACCACTCATCAAATGGGAAAATTAGTTCAAATCAGTCTGTGAAGGACGGTTAGTTGTTCCTTCTCAATGAATTAACCGCACTATAATCACTGTTGGATTAAATAATAAACAGAATTTTCATGTGATTATATTTGATATATGGAAAACCTACTTCAATTATTTTTGAACAATAACCATACCAAATAGTATTTTGATACTACATTCAGTAGTTTTTATAATAATAGAATACAAGCTAAATCAAACGAAGAGAAAACGGGAGTTTGAATCATGGTATGAAAATAATATCAAGTCTTTGGACATCCCGACATTAGAAGTCTTTTTAAAGTAACTGATTGTATATTTGCTATAAATTCACTCAGCGTTTGAAGAGAAGACGTGTTAACTTCGTGCATAAAAACGGTGGTTAAATCGTCTTAGTAATGACGGATTTTTCACAACCAACTGAATCAAATTTCACAGCGTTATTATTTTCAGAAAATAGCTTTTTTTATAGGAGGGTAACTTCTTTTGTCGAAAATAAAACAGAGAAAAGGGTAAAAAACGGAATTTGCGCTGTGGGCGTTATCATTACATTCCTGGGCGAATCCATTTGAATAATGTTTTGAGGAAAAGACTTTTGGACACTTCTCATACAAAAGGCGGACTGTAAACTCACTTGTATAAGATGTTAACCCAAACGCCAAAGAGTATGGAAAACGCACTCTTCAAGAATAAGTACGACTACAAAGACTTCGAAACGTACCAGCAAGCACTTCTCTTGGGTCTCTTGAATCAGTACTGTTCTTTCACTGTCAAGAAACAACGCAAGCAAACAACCATAGCACAGTCAATGCCTTTACTCAAATGTATCACATTTGATGGTGAAGAGATCGATCTCATTGACTTTTCAGACTCATTCTGCAGACCTCAACTAGAAGCCGAGTACATTCGGGGTTTAAACAAACAAACTGCATTCAGGCGATATGAAAAGAACAAGAAGGTGATTGTTATTAACACACTTTACGACATATGTCTTGAGAAGGGTTACTTTTTCAACTCCAGACTTGCAAGAAAGTCGAAGAAGACAAAGAGACTCGACCGCATTGAGCAAGTATTTGCTAATGGAAAATTGGTCTATTCACAAGAGGAGTTGGTTGCTATAGGAACTGAAATCAACAAGTACTTAGTCGACCTCGTCGAAGTTAGCTTTGAGGCCACTGTGAAAAAGAACGACCCAACCATTCAGGAAATCCTTCAACTGGTTGTCAACTCGACTTTCTCCCAATGACTCCATTCCTTTTGGAAATGTTATAATTATAGTTTAATTTATTAAATGTTATGGTTTCATCAAAACGGAGTTCGTATTTGTTTGTAATTTTTTCATTTAATTCAACAATGAAAAAATTTAAATAAATTTAAAAAAATCGAACTATTTTTCCAATTTTTTATATAAAATTTTTTAAATTAATGATAATACAATTTAATATCTAATACTATAAAAATACTCAACATATAAAAAACATTTTAGTTTTAGATATTAACATTGAAATGACAAATGTCCAAATGAAATACAAATTAGATTGTCAGACTTATAATTCCACAAAAGACATCATTCACTGTTTCATATTGTATTTTATTTGTTTTTTTAAGGCTTTGTATGTTGATATTCTTATGACATTTTGAATGTAATTTTGTGATAAATGAATAGAAATAAAAAGCGATGAATATACAGTATTCATTGTATAATTATATAATTGTATAATAAAATATAAAACTTTAATAAATGAATATTTTGAGTGCTATTTTCATCAAATAGGTGCGACTTGAATTCAAAATAATAAAACAACTCTTATTCTTTGAATTCGACATTAAACACTAGAAACAACAAAAATCACAGAAATTAAGAATTATTCCAAAGTACCAGTAATATCACTGAATGAATCATTTTTGACCGACTTGATAATTTTGACAAAGTTGTTTGGTCGAGCCACAACGTTCGAGCCAATGAAGACATTCATTTTGAGTTTATCAGAAAGTTCGTATGCAATTCTCATCTCAGAATATGAAATAGCGCCTGTGATGAATATGACCAAGACGTTCGAATCCGAGCCAAGCAAGTCTTTCTCTGATACTGCCTCTTTTTTAGCGGTAAGCTTTCCCTCTTTTTTGTCTTCCTTCGCTTTCTGCTTCTTCAATGTTTTCCCTGCTGCTACAGTTATGTTTCCGGTTTTCTGTTCGATAGTCACAGGGAATCCAGCAAAGTTCAATTTGTTCAACACACAGTAGTCCGGAACATCGTTGTTTGACATTCTCATCACAATCTCTTTGATGTATGGCACAAATCTCGAGTTCACAAATCCGTCATCGTTGTCATCGCCCTTTTTCTTCTTTGTTATCTCTCGCTCCGTTTTAGGCAAAGAAAGCGCAGCGGAAATGATTTTTGCAACGTCTTCGTCACCGTGGAGTGCATTAATCAACGCGTTTTTATCATCGTCAGAATACTCCTGCGAGAATAAATAAATGAGCACTTGCCTCAGTCTTAAATCGCTTGGATACGACACATTTCCAATTGAAGACGAGATGTACGGAAACGCCTTTTTAACTTCTTTCCCGTCTTTGTCAAGCCCCGTTGCCATGATCTGCTCACCACTAGCAAATTCGTCGAGTTTCTTTTCTTCGTTGACATTGAAACATCTTGAAATGAGTTCCATGTGATTTGAAAAGCGCGTCATTAAGTCAATATACTCGGGCAGTTTTTTCATCATCTCGCCCATCTCTTTCATGTCTTTCGCGCCCTTTGCATTACCCACACCCTTGTGTTCCGCGACAAATGTGTTGAACTCTTCGACAACAAATGGCGATGCCTGTGCAATGTGCATGTGTCTTGTTTCTCTCCAAATTGTGTCTTCCTCATTTAAAACCATTGGCTTGTCTCCCGCTTTTGTCTTGATGATGACGGTATCCTTCTTTACTGGCAGAGTGTCGTATACCATTGCTTGGTACGTGAACTCAGTCAACAAAGGAGTCACCAAATCGAATATTCTATCCGCAACTATCACGTTGAGCTTTCTTGCAGTTTTTTCAGCAGGATTGAATGCCTCGACCACGGGACTTGATGAGATGTCGATATAACTCTGTTGGAGCGCTTCGACAATTTTTGGCGAGAGTGCATTTGGTTGTTTAGTTATAGCTCTCACGACGGGGTTGATATTAAGGCAGTACAAAAACGATGCGAGTGACTGTCCTATTTTCTTGATCTGTTGTGTTCTTCTTTCTTCAGTGGAATTGAGCGAATACAAATCGAAAAAGGCGTTGGGGTCGTTCATAGAAAAGACTCTTTGCTCGACTACGTGGAAGTCGAGTGGAATGACCTTGACGTCTTTAATACGTGGTGTTCTCTTCAACGCCTCGAATTTTGATTTTTCAATTGCGTTGATACAAGCCACATAAGCACAGGAATACTGCGGCTCTGCTTCGTTCGAAAATTCCGAAATGATTTTGTCGACGGATTCTTGAGATGGTGAGATAAGATAAAGAGCAGGACACATAAATGGTTCACGCTTCTTCTCCAAGTTGTTGACATCAAGAATGTCGTTATTGAGTAGGTCGTCCATTCCACAGAACGAAGATATCACTTTTAACGCGACTTGGTCTGCTACTAATATTTTCCAGCTGCGTGGTAGCTCGTCCCACAATTTCGTCAAAAGTTTGCGTTTGCAGATGTAAGAGATGTCTGCCATAGTTTGTATTTATTAGTTTTTCTTTGTTCTTTGTTCATAACTGTTTAGTCACTCTCCTCTCAATAACTTGTTATTTATGGCGAGTTTTGACTTTCTTCTTTTCGTTTTTGAAACATTTCTTTCTTCGTGGTGAACTGAAAAAGAGAGTTATTTGTTTGACAAAGAAAAAAAGTCAAACACAAATGTGCTTTTTTTATTGAGTGTATCTCTTTTGTATTAAATTCTTCTTTAAATTAAAAGGTTTTATAGCAATTGGGTAATAAATTATTAGAATTATGATTTTTTGGGAAAAATAGCTCCATGTTTCAAGATGTCGGTTTCAAACTCAGCTTTCTGAGGACAAGTTACTATATTTTCTAATTACATACTATACATTTTTAGTAATTCGAGAAAGGTCAAAATATAGTTTTCGTTTAGTAAGTAAAAAACATTTTAAAATAAATGTTATTAATAACATTTTTAAAACATTTTTGTATTTATTTCGATGGGAATTGTATTTTTTTCAAAACCACTATTTTACCAAAAGTTGGTTTCTTGTTTTATTCGCACACATCTATCTTTAAATTTTGTCTGGATATTTTTATTTTTACCATATGACAAACATTGCCAGTAATTATCTATTTTTTTTCAAAAAACAATTTAAAAATAATTTATTTTTATTTTTTTCAAAAAAGATTCAATAATATATAAACCTTCAAATAATAGTTCAAAAATTTTTTTTCATTAATAGAACTGTTATAGTAATAAATATAGTAAAACTATTATTATTTATTATAATAAATAATTCCTACATAAACAAAAGTAAATATATTAATAGTTTTAGGGGTTATTTATTAACCAAAATAAGAGCATAAAAAAAGAAAAAAAACTTTTTTAGAACAAACTAAATAATATAGTTTTATAATAATATTGAAAATTATGAAAGAAGAGATCTTTTTTTACATAATATTAGTAAAGTAATAATGATGATACCATATCTTTTTTAATTAAAACAGTTCAATTTAATAGATATACATTTTAATTTACCAAACTATCAAGATTTAACAATATAATTGTTTCAATAAATCTTATTTATATTTAAAATAATAATACATTAAAAATATAACACATTGAAAACACCAAAAGTAATAAAAATAAAAAAGTCTACCACAGAATTTCATTCAGTCAGAATTCTCCATTTTCTGAACGATCTTCTCCATAAGCCATAAGAAATTGTAAAATCAATTAAATAGTTTTAAATAAAACGTTATAAGGTACAATGGAGTCTGAAATGCGGGAGTCATATGAAAATAAAGAAACAGCGAAATTCGCGAAAACTATTAAATTAATACACTTGTTACCATGTCGTTTGTTCCTCTTCAAGGTTTTCCCCACCACACATCCACTACTAACTTTCTCTCTGTATTTTCTTCAAAGATAAAGCGTCTCCCAACAACAAAAATCGTTCCAGTCAATTCGTCCGGTTCCACAACAACCACTTACAAATCAATCGACAAACACTGCAGAGTCGTCACAAAGAAAGACGTCTTTGCTTTGACTTCCTTTTCGCTCTATCATTCCGTTAACGGTGTCAAACAAGGAGAACCCATTTGCGATAAAGTCTCCGTCAGAATTTTTTCAACAGCTTTATTTACGGTCTTAGCTGATGGTGCTGGTTTGTTCAAACCTTTCTACGCTTGATGAAATTTAACAAATGACTTATTGATAGGATGGGGAATGCCTTCGTTTCGAGCGGCAACCAAAGCGTGCGACAGTGTTCTTGATTATATTTCCAAGAATGTTGGGACGTGTGTCACTGTACGAGACATAGGGTCCTTACTCGTCAGCGCGTGTTCATATGCGCACAATTCCGTTTGTTTCAAAAAGCATTTCTAATACATTTAATTAGTTTATTAATAATACAGATATTAAGTACGACAGAACTACTATTTAATATAGGAACTACTACACTTATGATCAACGGAATAGTAAATACAGAAAAAGGACACTATTTGGTTACAACTAATATTGGAGACTGTCGAACTTTTTTATACTCCCATATCAATCACCACACTTCATCACATTGTGGTAACTTCCACGACTCATACAAACATATGCAAAACTCTTTTGGTGCAATTGGACCAATGAGGAGTTGTGAACCCGATTTGAATAAAGCGCAATTAAAAGCAGTTCATGTTGATGTTGGTGACATTATCATCACATCGAGTGATGGATTTCATGACAACATTGACCCACAGTTCAGGGGCGTGGAAAATTACAAATCGAAAGAAAAAGAGACGGACCAATTTCTCACTGAATTAATCGAGGAACACAATAGTCTAGCAGAGACCGTCGAAAGTGCAAGTACTTTTGTTGTGAATTTGACACAACCTGCTCGTGATTTACTTGCTAAGAATCCGAAGAAGTTCTTACAACTTGGCAAAGAAAAGATGGGGAAACTGGACCACACGACTATCTGTTTGGTCAAAGTCGGTGACATTGAAAAACAAATGATTGTACCCACCACGTGTTCTTTGGCGTCTTTTGATACTTTTGTCTCTGATGAGTCTTCTCAAATCAATGCAACACAGTGTTCATCGACAAGTGGGTATCAACCACAAAGACGTACTCCAATGTATGACACTGCCAATCTTGGCCCAGTAATGAAAGAGATTGATATACTGAGATCGGAGTCTGTTGGACTCTCTTCAATGTCAAGTTCACTTGGAACAAATATTATGGCGGAGGACGACAGAAGTGTGTGTGAGTCTGGTCGTGTTCCTAGTCCACTTGGGATTAGTCTGAGTACGATCAGTTTATCAAACAGTTTTTCCAACTCTTCTCAAAGGAAACGAGTCTATTCGCCACGGAGAAGAGTCTCTATCATGAAAGTGGATCAAGACGAAAAACACTTTTTACAGAAGGAGAGTAGCATAGAAGAAGAGAGTGGATGGGACGATGACAAAGCTCAACAAGACAAGCGTAAGAAGGGTTCCACAGATATTGTAATCCACAAAGTTGAAGTCCACATGAACACGAAGAAGACGAAATTGCAGTCTTCAGATGACGATAAAAAATGAGATAGAATGTATTTGTATGATTCTTAGAACCAATTTTGATTATAGACTGTTCGTGTGTTTGCTTGCATTTATTAACAATAACACATTTACACATTTAATTTACACAAATACTTTGTGAGTGAGGCGTTGATCATATCGTTTTTGAAGATGGGAAGTTCTATACCCCGGACTTCAGTCCACATCTTAATCTTCCTTCCAAAGGCTCGCACCTTTTCCATATTAATAAGTTCATCGAAATACAACGTCAGTATCTCTTCACTCTTTAATTCTTCGACCCAAAATTCAACAACAAAAGAACGATAGATGTTGCTTGCTATGCTCTCGTAATGTTTCCAAAACTCTTCGTGACGATGACCCCCTTTGTATAACCGCTCTAATTTGGTGTATCCATTCTCTAAGTCTTTTTTGATCTTGTCGTACTTGAATTTGTCTTCACGCTTTGATATTTCAACGCCACTAAAGATTAAATAGGAGGAGTTGAACATCCGCTGCTTTTCTAATTTGAATGCAACTCGAATGAAATACTCTGCACTTGTTTTATTCGTCACATTTTGGGACACCCATTTCTTTGCATTTTCACACATTTTTAAGTACTTTGAAAGGGACGACGATGATTCGCCACACACCAAATTCTCGGGTTCTATTTTCATGAAATTTTCATAATCAAAATACCCAAATTGCTCTGCAAAGACTTTCTCACTGATGTTGCTCCAAAACAAATCGGGTCGCTCGGACTCGTCGCCGTCTTCTCTCCATTCTTTAAGACCGGGCGTCATGCGTCTTTCAACTTCCGTTTGATTCAATGTGAAAAAAGAGGACCCGATCTCCGCCAACGAAAAGTTTCTTCGTTTTTTAACGGGCTCTGGAAGTGTTCTGCGAAGTTCTCGGCACGACAGTGGTGTTTCGGTGAGACGAAGTGCTCTTGACATCTTATTCACAAACCAAGTCGGGTACACATTTCCATCAATGAAACATGACAATGGGTTCTCAAGGTCTCTAATGCCACTCGTCACTTGGAGAAACAAAGAAGTCACAGTCATCACACGTTCTCGTAAAGCCTGTTCGATGTACTCTTGCCCTAAACTCATTGCTCCAAACACTCTTCTATCCGCATCAACTAATTTCTCCGTCAACGTCTGAGCATTTGTATATAAATACATTGCATATACAGCCCCTTCAAGTGATTTAAAAGGTACGTGGGGGTCGACTATACAGTCCAAAAGTTTCTCGTTTGAAATTTCCTCGATAACACCTTCCTCCGAAAAAATGGGGTCTCCGGTTTTGTCAAACACACTTCCACAATTCTCGGCGATTTTCCTTGCAAATTCAATTTCGCTGGGTATCGGGTCCTCTCCAAAACAGACTTGTGCAATGTCCTAAGTATTAATATATGTGTTTCAATATTAAATACTATTAAATAATTTTCATAGTATTTATTACTAGAGCTAAATAATATTATACTACTACTAAATTAGAACTTAAAATAGTTCCAATGTATAGTAATTTAATAAGAAATAGAACTAATTTTAATTCAAACAAACTTTCATGTCAATTTCATAATTCTCGACTTCCTCTTTCGGTGACGTTGTTTTGCACATTTTGTTGAGAAAAAACCGTCGTATTGAACTGAGTCTCCACACGACCATTCTACAGTCATCTGCGTGCATCACTGAGTGAATGTCTTCAAAGTTGTCGAATAGCATCAGGGACCTTTCTGCGAGTGTTTTTGAAAACTCATTTAAATTGAAGGATTTGAAGTCGTTCTTTTCTTTCATCTTGAATTCCATTAACACGTCGTCCAATTCGACTCCAACGGGTTTTTCTTTGTGAGGTTCAAAAAGTTTAGAAACACCTTTTGTGATTAAACTTCTATGTTTTGTTTTTCGTGGGGTCCCCGGTTGAATTGTAATATTTCGCGGACTTCTCACGCGGTCAAACTCAGTGAACCGAAACGACTCGTCGTGCGGTGGGGAATACTTTCTCTTTGGTGACAACGAAGGGTCTCCGAAGCTACAAATTGGTGATATCGGACACGTCGAAGTTGCTGTTTGTTTGACTTCGATGAGTGGCGACAGTGCGCGTTGTGAGTTTCGTGGGGTTGATGGGGAATAAGGTGATGGAATGTCTGAAAGGGATGGTTTAGTCGAGTTAAAAAAGGTTGGAGTCATCTTCTTTTTTTCTTCCGAAGGCTTTGAGTTCGCCCAAAGAACATCGACAACACCACGACGCTCCTGTTTTTTTTGAGAGCTCATTTACTTTTTCAAGTTTTTGGGTGATAGAAACTCAACATAATTACTCACACAATAATCTTCATTTAAATGAATGAAATTACTGAAAACTATTTTAGTTTGTGAAATAGTTAATTTGTAATATTTTAATAGACCCGTTTTCGCTTTTGATGTTTTGTCTGTTTTTTGGGATTGTTTTTGTTGTTTTGAAGCATTTGAGACTAGAATGAAACATAAAATTATAATATATTGTATTTTTTATTATACATATTAACTTTTTTTAATTTTTGGTCAACTATTGGTTTTGAAAAAAATAGAATTGCAAATTCTTGTTCTCAATTTAAAACTTAGATTGAAAAGTGTGTCTAATAAAATTAAAATAATAATCAAATTATTACTAAAAATATTAGCTCAAAACCAACTTTTCGAAATTCAATTAATTTTGATAAACAATTTTTAATAATCTAAAACTTTTTTTAATTAACAAGTCATTAAATATAATAAAATATTTATTAAATATAATAAATTTACTTGTTAATCGAAAATGGATTACCAATTATACGTTTTTTGATTAATTCATTTTTAAATCTCCATTTTAAAAAATCTTTTTTTTGTTTTCTATAATTAGTAATTGTTTTAGCTATAAATATGACAAAAACAAAATAATACAAAATTAATAGAAAGTTACTTTTCTTCCCGTTATTTTAGACTAATATGTTATTAATATTATTTTTTTATGATTTATTATTACCCCAAAATATCCATTTGTGTTTTTTTTATCAAATAACTATAATCAATGGTACAAATACCTATTTATAAACCAGAAAACAAATTATAATTCTATAATTAAAAAATAATAACAAATTAAATAAAACAATAATACTATAATTATATAATAAAAAACCAATATAATATAATATTAGCAACATAACGAAATACAAAGCTATGTGAATTAATCAAACAAAGAGGAAGTATCAAGCGACGGATCTTGGGACTTCCTGAGAAAGGATAATGTCTGCAATATCCCCGTCATTTGCGTCGATAAATTTTTGACCTTTTCCGTTATTAACTAAGTTATTTAAGTAATTGTTAATAGCATATCCACGACTAATAACATCACCAAACTCCATGATGATGTGCCCATCGAAAAAGACTTTACTTATTCTTTCCAGTCTTAAAGTCTTTCCCGTGTTCCGAGCCAAATTAGACTCAAATGAAAATCCCTTCATCTCGAGTAAGTCGATCAAAAGGTGTTGTACAAAGATCTTCTTGTTCTTCTCAAACCGTCTGAGGGCTGTTTGCCGTTTTCTCACTTCCGCGCATTCTCTTTGATACGTCTCCGACAACGCTTTATCGGCAAGGACTTGGACGTCGAGTTGGTCATTTCCAAAGTTGATCGACTGTAATATTGGAAATGGAGTTGTGACCGATGTCTGTTTCTTTTGCTTGGAGACTGAAACACCATAATAAGCATTAAGAAACCCAATCAAAATGGCTTGTTGGACAACATAGAAGTCTTTGTATTCGTTCTGTGTAGAGAAGAAATCGTTACGATCAGTCGATTGCATGAATTAATCAGTTCTATAGGACTTTTAATAGTAATTTTTACTTGTTAAAGTTATGGCGGTCGTAACTAGAATGGGTTTTCGGCTTTTTGAAGGAGTACCTATTTCGAGGGGTTTTTTGTCGGAATGCTATTTCGGGCGTTTCCAGATTTGTTCAATTTATAGAACAAGTTGCTTTTCCAACAATTCTAATATTATTATGTCTAACTATTTGTTTAGTTATAGCTATTAATACATAGATGGTTATATGGTTGGTTTTATTCTCAATGACTCTTTTTCTCCGTTTTTTGACTGAAATTAATTAATTTGTTATATTCGTTGATATCAAAGTATGAACAAGATCAACGTGAATGTGAGCATTTCATATTGTAAATTAATGCAGAGCTGTAATGTATAAAAACAATAAAAAAAATAAACAAAAGGTTGCCATTATTAGTTACAGAATAAATAATAATTACGTCTCCACGTCGTCAAATGATGATATAAATAATAGGTTGTGGTCATAAAAAATACAAATCGGCAAAGATATTTTTCTATATTTACATTTACTTAAAACTATTTTTATATTATTTTTCCAACAAAGAAAATTTTGTTTTTTTCCTAATGAACTTTAATTTATTAAGTTTCTTTTAGTAAATAGTTAGTTTTATTATCTATATATAGGTTTGTGATTGTAACAATATCTATTAATACAATTTTTAGTTATAAAAAAATTAAAATTTGTTTTATTGGATTTTTAAGTGTCTTATTTCTTTTTTTATTTTATAGTATATTTAATTACATTTTTAGTAAAACATCTCCATAAGGGTGAGTTCATATCAAATTTAAAAAATGTTTCTACCCTTAGTATAATTGACTCATCTATTTAAAGAAAATGACATATGAAGTTTTCTTTTTATAGAAACAAAACAACTTAAAAAGTGTAATATATTATAATTATATTAGTAATATATTACTATACTATCTGCTATCAATTAAATTATGTATAGATTCAAAATCAATATAGTTTTTTGGATATTTATGGTTTATGAAAAAATAAAGTAAATTTCTAGTTTTTTTTTAATTATCGAGATATATTTAAAAAATAATGTTGAGATGATAAAAATTTCTAATGTAGTTTATTCTTTGTGTTTCAAAAATTAATAATATTAATATTATAAATAATACAAAATAAATTATTATCTTATTTACAATATTTAATTTCTTGCAATTTTACAATATATTGTAAAACAAAACCATTTTAATAGAATTTGTTATTCAAATGATTTTATGCTTTTCATTAGTTGAGAAGTTTAAGGTGTTGTGTGACTTCGTTAATCTTACTTACTGTGTCTGGACCTATACCAAGCACTGTAACAGTGTTTGGCTTTATTTGGGTTCTGCCCAAGTCGATAATTTTAGCACAGACCAAATTGTGTTTTTTGGCTTCTTTTTCAAGCATTTCCCTTTAAGTTATATCTATTGGTTTTATCTAATTTTATATAATTATATGAAATACTATTTGAACAAACAACTCTTCCAGCGACTCGACTCTTAAAGCCACTTTAGTTTGATCGTGTTCATGCCAATATCTGAACAGTTCCGGTTGTTTTTCAAGAGAAATTAACGTGCATTCAACTGTAGCGTGGCCACATTGTGCAGCTATTTTCCCTTTCCCCATTTTTAAATCGTTTCGAACACAAAACACCATCTTCGTGTCTTCTTGTTTCTTCTCCGCATCAGGGCTTTTCATTGTTTCCATTGTCGCGATTGTCTGAACGGCGGTTTGTGGTGTTCTTGTTTCTTCCATATATAGTATTTGTATAATAAAATTACTAACAATATAAGTCTTGACTTTGAGACTTGTCTTTAATAATTAAATTTTAGTAAAATATATATTATTGTTGATTTATTTATAAATATAGTAACAATGACTAATACAATACAATTCATTATATTAAACCACAATTATTGAGGAATTAAAAAAATCAAAAGGAATCAAAATCATATCGATGCGCCTCATCTTAATTTTTCGGGACTTTTCACTTGTCTTTGTTTTAGTAACGGTCATTCTGTTTTACTTCTGGCCGGTCTATCAAACCATTGAGGACCGTTCCCTTCTCACTCGCAAAGTGATTTCCAAATTTTCGAATACACGATACGACGTCAACAACTTTAATTACACTGGCGACTGCGGTAAAGTGTTTCGTTATTTGTCGAACAACAATCGCGACGTGATTTTGGGCTCTTTGGAATACAAAACACTTTGTCAAGGTCGAGTCTTTTGGACGGCAATTAAAATGGCCCGCCAAGCTGTTCCAAAGGCGCGATTTGTCATATTAATTCAGAAAGGGTATCCGTCGTACTGTGAAGGAGATATGAACATCATGCGAGAGTTAGGAGTGGAACTTGTATTCTTCGACAAGAAGTTTCAAGGCGATATGAGTTCATTGAGGTTTTTCCATTACCTCGACTATCTCAAACAACACATCAACAACATCGACAGAGTGGTTTTAATGGATGTCAGAGATGTCTTCTTCTTCGGCGACTTCTTCATGACGTTTTCTACAAACGAAATGAGTTTTGTCAGGGAATGCAGGAGTGACACTGACCCGTCACTCTGTTACGGGCCGGCGACGTTCAGCACGCATGGAGTGTGGCTTGAAAAATTCTTTGGGGGTGAAGTAAGAAAGCAGTTTGAAGAGCAAAAACTACCTGCAGTGAATGGCGGATTTATGTTTGGTGGAGTCGAGAAAGTTATACAGATGCTTGAAATTTTCGAGTCGTTTGTTGATAAGAGGAAAATGAAATGGGGATATGACCAAGCACTTTTTAACGTGTTATACTATAATGGAACATTTAATTCAATTGGTGCAGAGGCTAGCGACTGTACACAAAGATTCTGTTATTTGGGAGACTCGTTCAGAACAGTTCAAAAAACAATTCTAATGGGTAAAAGTGACTGTTCACCTGTAGCCACACACAAATTGAGACTGAATGACATCGGGTGGGAAATGACATAATTGTGTAATGTAATAGTTCCAATTTACTAACTTATATGATTCTTTATTAATTTACTATTATACTTGTATTAAACTATATTTGTTATACTATTTTATTATCTGAAAACTAATTATTACTATTAATTATTTAATTTATTAATAATTTATTATTATTAATATTTAATAATGATAATATTAAATAATTTTGTTATTTGTTTACTTCTGTTTGTCAATTAATCACTTTGTTACTAAGGAATTATTAATTAATATTTTTTGCTTACTTTTACCATATTCATAACAGTTAGAAAAACATTAAAAATAATAGTTATTTTTATTATAAATAAAAACAAAAAAAGACACAATGATTTTAGTTTAAATCTTAAAATTTTTTATATTTACAGATTCACCCTTTTTTACCTTTTATGTCAAATATTAGTTTAATTTAAACTTTAAATTATTAGAAACTATTTTTATTAGTTCTCAACATTGATGACCACATAAAAAATGTAAATTTGGGTTATGCAAAAATATGATAAGTAGGAACATCAATTTACTATATTTTTATTATAAATTATAACATAATAGGTGCATCAACGCCAAAATTTTATTTAATTAACACAAAATGATTTCTTCAAATAATACAAGTTAAACTACTTGCAAGCCATTGTTGCAAATAGGTGTAAAAAGCGGAAACTTTTTTTTTCAAAAAAAATAAGCAAATTTCTTTTTTTTTGACCATATTTCGTTTCTTATTTAAATCATCATAATAAACTATAATTTAATGTAGTCTAAACTATATCTACTAGTTTCTTCTGGTTATAATTGATCAGAAAAGAATTAATTACCGAAATCAATCAAGTGTTTTCTTAATAGTTTTAAGAACTTATCTAAGAATAGAACTTCTGTGACTAAAACAATTAAACTGAATTTCCTCATGAACCAACGAAAGATGTCTGAGCCACACGTTTTCTTAACTAAATCCTCTTCGCCAATAGGCTTTCGCAAGAAGCGATCGTCTGTCGGAAACATCTCTCCCCTTGCCAAGACGACAATCATCAATTCTCCAATAGACTCCCCTCGTTCTGAAGGTGAACGTGACGAAGACAACTTTTGTCGGCTTCAATCATTTATTGATGCATTGTCCCCGTCTTTTATCAACAAGAGTTTGTTATTACGAGTAATACATGGGCATACTATCTGTAATAGTTTTAATATTATAATAACAAGTCAAATGGCATGAATGTCACATACAGAGACTTTTATAGTTTAGCAATAGTTTTTAATTAATTAAAATCAATCAATTAATCATCACACTCATTTGAAGGGCATTTACAGAAATTGAGTTGGAAGGGCATAGCTTGGCAACTGCGGCATAAAGTGTGGAAAGTTTTATTAGGGCAGTTACCCTTAGACCAGAACAAGCAAGCGAGTACATTACAATCGATGCGAGAGAATTATAAAACAACACGCGAACGGATGTTGAAAGAGATCTACAACTATGAGCAAAGCCATTTAGTCCAAATTCGGAAAGATTTGGTTCGCCCGAACAAAGACATCTCATTTTTATTGAACAGCACTATACAAAAGATGATGGAGAATGTATTAATGGTATGGGCTCTAAGACATCCAGCGTGTGGATATGTCCAAGGGATGAGTGATATTGTAGTTCCTCTTGTCTATGTGTATCTAACTGAATATACATACGACGAAGCATTAACAGATGATCGCATTCAACGTATTCCAGAGACTATATTACTTTGGTGTGAGGCTGATATATATTATGGGTTTGATATGTTAATGATGCGGATCCAAGATCATTATACATTAGACCAACAAGGAATAATGGAGAAGTTAAAACGAATGGAAGTCCTCGTTTCCAATTTCGCTCCAGATCTCTATCAACACTTAAAGTCGGCTGGCGTCATTTTCATTCAATTTGCTTTCCGATGGATCAACTGTTGTTTACTCCGCGAATTTTCATTGAAGTCTGCCGTTCGATTATGGGACTCATACATCAGTGTCGAAGACGGAAATGGCTTTGGTGAACTCAACTTATATTGTTGTGTATCTCTACTCACGTATTTTAAGTCAGACTTGATGAAAATGGACTTCTCAGAGATGCTCCAATTCTTACAACATTTACCTACTGAAAACTGGGGAGATGAAGAGATACAAGCTCTTGTTTCTCAAGCCTTCGTGTACCAAAATTCGCAAACTCAAATCACTGAATGATTTAATTGTGTATTTCACTCTATTTATTTGGTTTCCTTTATTCCTTCTATTATATATAGTACTGTATTGATAACACTGTACTATAATTCATAGTTCCAATACTATAGTAAATCACTTAATTAAATTCAGTTTTTTGTTGGAATATATAATAAATTTAATCATAAAATTTAATTATTAAATTAAATTATTCAAACTTCGATTATAGTTCGAATAATGGTTATTTACTATTAACGATTTAGTAAAAATAAAATATTATTCATTTACTATTTATACTAACAATAATACTAATAAAGATATTCACCGTCTTTCAAGTGTCAATGAATATAATATCACAACAAAGAACACACAAAAGAGACTTAAAACACTACGACTGCGCCAGTCTCTGCTTGTTGAATATTGAGTTTAAGGCCGTAAGCCTTTGAGAGTGAAATTTTGAAGATGGTGTCGACATTAATACCCAACAAGGCTGAGCAAAAGACACAAGCCGACTTCATTAAATTGGCGAATTTAAGTGCCGTTTCGACTATTTTATTTCTCTCGGCCTCATCAAGATCAACAAAGAGATCATATTTAGTCCCGACCAATATGATTGAAGCCGTTGGGTTGTACTGACGAGTGTTTTTGTACCAATACTTCACGTTGTTCAGAGAGACTGAACGAGTCAAGTCGAAGAATAGAAGTACAATATGAGCACCATCTAACACGTTGGGTAACATTGTTAAGTACTCGCGCTGTCCACCCAAATCGCCGATCGAAAAAGTGATTTCGTGACCTCGGAGGTTGATCTTCTTTTCCATAAACGCGATACCCAAAGTCATGATGTAGTCCTCGTTAAATTTGCCCTCTACGTATTTCACCATCAAAGAGGTCTTACCCACTTCACTGTCGCCTAACATCGCTATCTTGATCGTTCCTTCCTCACCCATCTCCTCTCTTTTTTTCAAGTTCAACAACCAAGAGATCTTCAATCGTTTTTTTCAAAAGAGTCTATTTGAGGAATAATAGGTTTTCAAGTTTTTTTGATTGAACAACTTTTAAAAAAGTTGTTTGTTTGTTAGCTTTAATTAATTTGTATTAACTTTCAATAATAAAATTCAAAAACTTGAAATCGTTAAAAAGTGTATTAGTCATATAGTAACATTATTATTAAAATATGGTTCTTTATTAACTTGTGTAATAATATTGTATTAGTTTCATATTAAAACTAACTATATTTTTTATGGAATCGGTATTCAAAAATAAATTGGGGTCCAATACATGAAATAACATTTTTTGTAAAATTATTCAAATTTTTTGAAAAAAATAACAGTATGCACCCCTAATTAATTAAGACTGATAATTAACTATAAACATAAAAAAAGAAACCAAAACTAAAAAGAATCCACAACATACCACGTAATACCGCGTCAACCAATAAAAACAACTCAAAAAGGTTCAGAACAACGAGATGTTTACTATTCGACGAGCAACGGTTTGGGTTTACTTTCCGCATTTTACAATCTCATCATAAGCCTGCTGATCTTCCCGCTATCCAAAACGCAAATTTGACAAACCTTCCTGAAAACTATAGTATGCAATTATATTATTACCATTTAATTTTGTGGCCGACAACCACTTTTGTTGCGGTCAATAAAGAAGGGAAGATTGTTGGGTATTGTCTCACTAAAATGTTTGTATTTCTGTATCACTCCATTTCTAACAACTTTACTATAAAATTATAGTTTCAAGTGGTCAAGTGTAGAAATGTTTTTCAAAATGTTTTTCATAGGGTTACTCAACACCAGTGAAGACGACGAGTCACACCCAGTCGTGACGGGACAAGTGACGTCTATTTCAGTCATCCGAACCTACCGTAAACTCGGAATTGCAACCAAGCTGTTGCGAGCTTCGGAGAGTAGTATGATTGAAACATACGGAGCAAAGGCGATGATGCTTCAAGTCCGAATCTCAAACACCGCTGCGCTTCATATGTACGAAAAGACGTTTGGATTCAAGTTTGTTGCTTTGTTGGTATTCGGTACAATAACAATTTTGATGTTGAAAATGTTATTCACGTTGAGGATCACACGAACTGCGAAAAAGTACTATTTGGATGGCGAAGACGCATTGATTTTGACGCATGACTTCACAATGGATACACTCATTAATAAAGAAAAGTCATCTCCAATATTGGACAAATGGAAAGAGGAAATGGCAAAAAGCGAAAACGAGAAAGTGAAAAAAGAAGAAAGTGCGTAGGTTTGTACCACTAAAACGTATCAGTAAAATATCGATTTGCCGGGTTTGGTTTTGTTATAGTAAAATATACAATGGGTTATAGGTTTTCATTTTAAACTGGAATAGATTGAGGTTGGTGGAATGAAAGAATAGAAAGGACAGAAAAATACAAGAAAAAACAAGAAATGGGCGTAATTGTATTTGTGGCTTTATTAACAATTTCGTGGGCCGAGACATACAAAATCACGTTGGAAAACAACGGACAACTGTTCAACTTCAAAAATGGCGAGGAGTTCGATGTTGTGCTTGTCACAAATCCGTCAACGGGACATAACTGGGAACTTGAGACAAACAATAGACACCTCCAGCTCTTGGACCACAAAATCACAGAAAACAAAGAAAATATTCCAGGCAGCAACTTTGACGAGGTATGGTCATTCAGGGCAATCAAGAAGGGGTTTGTGTGGGTTAATGCAACTTACAATATACCAACCACAAAAGACATTGATTACTACTTCACAGTTGTGATTCGAGTTATGTAAAATGTTTGTTATAAACAGACTTGTGTTGAGTTGGGTTATTTATATTGCTTATCATTATAAATACTTCTGTAATAAGACCGAAATCACTTCAAAAAAAAATGAAAAAAATACCAAGTATAAAACAAAACGTTAGAAATTGTAGTCTTTTGTTGAAGTGTTGGAAGACACCACCACGGTTATGACAATTACTATCCAGACGATGATAAACAAATGAATGAACCCAATAACAATAGACATGACTGCCATTGTCGTCTTTCTTTGTTGGAGTTGTCGTGTCTGTGGTTTGTGAATCATGCAACACCCAATACACATAAGGGTTGGAATAAACATTCCAAGAACCATGAAAATTGTGGTGGTGTTGAACAGTGCAAACTCTTTGTCTCTTTGCTCAGAAGTTATGTTGTCATTTTCCGTCGTGGTGGTGACGACCGTTGTCTGTTGGTTAGGGTACATTGGTTGTGGTGGGAGTTGTTGCATTTGTGGTTGCATTGGTTGTTGCATTGGCACCATCTGTGGTTGCATTTGGGGCTGGGTGTATTGTTGCATTGGGACAACTTGTGGTTGGACCTGTTGCATTTGTGGTTGATTATAATTTCCCGGCGTAGATGGAGGTTGGTACATTGGCTGATTTTGGAAATCGGGAGGTGGTAAAGGTGGGTTGTATGTTGGTTGTGGTGGCACATAATTTGGGTTTGGGTAAGCGTCTGCCATATAAAAATCGGATTTGTTAGATTTTATTTTATTAAATTATAAAAAAAATGTTGAATGGAACTTTTTTATTTATAATTATAAAATGTATACAAATTATACTAATCACATTTTATATTGGGTACACAAAGGAATCGTTGAAAGATGCAAATGTCAAGTTTATAAATATTAATAACAAAAATAATTATAATTTTTTTAAAAAGAGTCAAAATAAAAAACAATTGTTTGAAAAAAAATCAATGAGGTAATAAGCGTTAAAATAATATAATTTATTTATAAATCAAATAATGTTATAAGTTAAGATAAAATATATATACATTACAAAAATTAATTGAATATGTTTTAACAATAATGTATCATTAAATAATTTATACAAGATATAAAAACAAATTTAGTCTTTTAAACATTATTTTTTTTAAATTAATGTTTAAAAAATTATTCAAAAAATAAATTTAATTTGTAAAATAATAAAATAATTTAGTTACCCCTTGAAATACCCAATATTTTTTCCATTTATTCATAAATTAGAAAAACAAAACAAACCCTATTAATTATTATGGAAATAACAAAAAATAGTTTTCAAAACATTTACGAAACGCTTTTCTTGTTTTACAAAGATGAGTGTAAACGCTTCACAACAAAACAATACAAAAGATGAGTGAGTTATAAAACAAAAACACAGCAAATGTATGTTCCAAATCACTGAAATGGATGGTGGACTCCATTGAAACTTGACAATATTTGGTAGTCTCTTTCGTCAACAGGGACAAAAGCACTTACTGGCACGGTGCACAAGTGTGGTAACACATCACCGATTCCATACACCACCAAATTGTCAGTGTTTTGCACTTGGATGTTTTCTACCATTTTTCTTAAGACAATTTCGTCCTGTTTAATGCACAAAGCCTCACCAGAAGGGTCAACAACTTTCTCCCACACATAAAAGTGCATCACCTTTGAAGACTCTTTTAAAGTGGTAAGGTTCAAACACAGTGAATATCCTCTTTGTACCAACACAAATGAGAGAAAGTTCGAAAAAGCAGCTTCCCTGTTTCTGCAGTCATTAATTTGGTTAAAGTCGAAAGCCTCAGAATCTTTGACGGACTCTTTGTGTGATCGAATACTTTCCAAGACGGTTCTATTGATTGTCAAAATTCGCGTCTTTTTGCTCTTTTCGCGTTCTATGAGGAGTTTCATCTTCTCACAAAAGACCATTGAAATTTGGGCAAAGTCGTTTGAAGAGTATGTCTTCTGATCTATTTGAACGGTTTTTCCTATCAAGACTTTAAGTGCGTACTTCGATTGCTTTGCTTTAATGAACTGAATTTTTGCATTTTCCTTAAGAACCCAGAATAGTACTAAACTGGTTGAAAGCGCCTTCTTAGAGCGCGAAAGAGATCTGCTGTTCATTTGGTTCATTAAAGTGGTGGAGATCTAGTTGCGGAAGAGTTTTCGAAGGGTTTTCTGGGGAATATGGGTGATGAAGAATGAATTTATTTAGACGCGCAAAAGTCCGTTTGATTCTTCTGCGGATCGCAATGACACTTTTGCGCCTCTTTAATCAAAAATATAAGACAAAAACAAGTATCGGATATTTAGTGCTATTAATCGGGTTTGGCGTGCTAAATGGTGTTTTTAAAAAACAATTTCATGCTGAAGTGTTAAAACAGCTTCTTGTATTAACAAACCAAAGAAGTTGCACTTTTGGGAAGGACCAGTTCGTTTTTTTTTGGTTAAAGGGAAAAAGAGGTTTTATTTTCAGAAGATCACTGCCCAAAACTTTATCGTTTAACCAAAATTTTTGGCATTTTGGGTTTTTCCTTTTCAATACAAAATATTGTCGGCGATTGTGGAGTGAACTTAATATTATTTCCCGACATCACACACAAAACATACGCAAATTGAAACAAATACAAAAACAAAGAACTAAAAAAAATAACGGAATGAGGTGGTGTTATTATATGTTAAACTGTATTATATCTAGTAGTACTTTTTGTATTTTTATAGTTTCCCAAAAAACACCAATAAGTTTCTATAAAAAAACACAACGATTTGAAAGAATCCCAATTTGGCCGTTTCACATTTATTCACATTGCTGTAATTATAATGTGCATTATTATCTCTAAAATACCAATGTTTTATAATTAATAAACAGTTATAAAATGTTTTATTAAATATAACAATTTTGTTATATTTGATAGAATAAATTCAAAATAAAAAATACGAAAAATATAAAAACGAATTTGCCGGGTGATTATAAAGGTTGGGCTTTTCTTGATGACAAATTTTTCTCAATTATGATTGGGAAGTTCTCCCGATATTTAACATATAATAACAGTATTAAAACACTTCTCTTTTACTTTGAGGTGAATGTGTTTCAAAAAAACAATAATAATCCACGGAAAGTTAAGTGTCATGTCGGGATTTTGGCGGGTGTTGGTAAGCTAATTTGAGCAAACGCTTTTCAATATAAAAAAGAAAAAAAACAAAAAAATGTAAAAGTGTGTAAAAGTCAACACTTTTTTGTTATGGCAGCCTCGCAAAATGAGTAATGCTGGGATTCTTGGGGTTATAATTGTGGAGTAATTGAAAAAACAAAAAAACAAGCGTTATTTGAATAGCAAATCCCGACCCGTAGTACATATTATTTGATTTTTTACTTGTTAAAAGGAAAGAAAATACACATATGCCAAATCTATTTAAAAAAAAGTTAAATCATGATGCTATCAAACTAGAAAAAAACGGGACAATTAGTGAATTAATTGTGTAAAAATACAATTATTTTGGAACAATCAAATAATTATGTATTTTAGTAACGTTTTTCGGCATATTCGTTTTTTCTTTTTATTATTGTTTTTTCCCAATATATTATAATTAGTTATTAATATTTTCACATTCATTATTCGCATTATAGTTAAAAATGTAATAAAAAGTTAAAAATGCCACTTATTAATAACCCAGTATCAAAAGAAAGTGTGGCGTGTTGCTGATTCACACCTTCACTAATCCGAAGTGGTGATGTTGTTGAGAAAGAAATAAAAAAGTGAAACTGTTATAGTTATTGATATATTTGATATATAAAATCCATTTCCACTTCAAGTAAGATGTGTTATTTTGTTCCCCACATCTTTAACAATAGTAAAACCCCGATAAAGTAAGGTAATCAAAACAGATTAATTGAAATGAATAACAAAAGAAATAACAATACTTAACTTACCACATTCTTCATTTCCATTTAAATACCATTACCCAGTTATGACCAATGCAGTGCAGAACAAAAAAAAACGAATCTACATTTACACGTAAGGGTTCACTCTTTCAGTTTGTGCTTTGGCGTTTTCTTCGTTTTGAAGGCCCACCTTCTTAACAGTGACTTTCGACACCTTTGTCTTTGAAGCATCTGGTCTCGTCCCGAGTTGATACGACGACTTTGAAAGTGTAGAGTGTGCAAGCTGGTGCTCGGCGCTTTTTTTCGGAGGGGCTGGTCTCTGTGGGAGTGCTTTGTTTGGAGGTACCACACTGCCGCTGTAACTCAGTGCTTTTTGGTGGGACACAAAAACACCACCACGTGGTGATAAAGAGGATGGGGGTATTTTGTGGAGTACTGGCGACGACGGAGAGGACACTACTGTTGTTGAAGAAGCTGAAGAGCCGAGAGCTGTTGACGGACGCTTTCCCTTCATTTGTGCATTTGCTTGTGGTTTTGGTGCTTTTGGGTCGTTGAACAACTTCTCCCAATTTTCAATCAAAAATCTTGTTGATGAAAAGCAGTCTGAAGACGCGTCAACCATTTCTGCCACATTGACTCCTGTGAATATATTAACTGCAAATACTACGGTGTTACTTTCCGTGTTTTATTTGGTGTTCTATCAATGAAACACCTGTCAGAGGACAAACAAACTCATCGAAACATTTGTGATATTCATTTTGTTCACCTGTGATGCCCCAACAACCAAAGAAAGGTAATGTATTAACAATTTAAGAGTGTTGTAATACAATCTACTTGTTATTTGTTTGTCAATGTCTTAATTCGTAGTTTTAAAGTGACACCACTTCTTTATAACAAAACAAACATCGGAAGAAACGAAAGGATGACTTGAATGTTCTTTATCTTTTTATCAAAGAACTTGTCATGCATTTCAATGGTGGCCAATATCATGCCCGTCTACGTCTCAATTTGTTTTCATATAACCAACAATACTATTAATATAGTATATATATATAGTAAATTAATACCAAAGTCTGTAGAATAGTAACTGGTATAATAACAAACATTCTCTCGTTTCATAAGCGAGTCGGGAAGTTCTCTGAAATACGTTTTTAAAGCCCCAGCTACCGTGTGGACATCGTACTTACTTAAATCAACAGGAAGGTTATTGTCATATAATCTTTTGATTTCGTTGATGTCCGCCAACTTTCCAGGGACTCTGAATATTCCCTCAGTCTCAAGTCGTACCGGCTTCTCTGTCAAGTAATTTATCAACTCTTTAACAACACGAGGAACGCCGTCTTGTTGCGGCGCGTTTTCAAGTAGCGCTCCGAACACCTTATTCATCTCCCACAAAACTGGATTATTAAGTTTAGTTTTTTTATTAGTTTCAAATGGTTAATTATAAACCAATTGGAGAGCAATTTTCTATCGTGTTTTTTAATAATTTTTATGAATTTTCACTACGAAAACTTTGAAATATTATACATAACTTTTAAATTGTTTTCAATAAATTTGATAATACTGAAAATGAGTTAATAACACAAAAACATCAGTACGATTAATTCTCCACATCACGTCGTCGCATGTAAACATGGACAGGAGTTCGCCGCACTACAGGAGGTATTTTCTTAATTAAGGTGTCAACACATTCACTTTGTATAAATTCAACATTTTCTGCTGCTACACTTACTGTCACACTTTTACACATATTTGCTGTCACACTCTTCAGCCGAGCAGACTTAACACTAAAAGTAATGTCAAAACACTTTTCGAGAAATAACTCCGATATGGAGGCATTCAGTAACAGATTCCCTTTCGTTAGACCCACTAATACCATTGTTTCTAAACACTTCCCAATATAGTCGATACGTTTATCAACACCATTGTCAAAGACAAGACGCTTTGTTTTAAGGTTTATTGAACACATTCGACAGTTGTAAACCTCCAAATTATCAAGACTTGTTTCTAAGTAAGGAGTGGGTGTGTTCGACCAAACTCGTGAACTTTGTGCAAGGACAAACGAACACTTTGTGCAGTCTCTCATCTTTATTTCACATAACTCGTTTGATAACATTTTGAAGTTTAAATTGTCACAACGAAGTAACTCGACTTTTTTACATCTAATAAAAAGCGGGTTAGAAGCCACTGAAAAGTCGTTGTTTGATGTGAGATGAACACAGTCGCACATTTTTAGTGAAACAACTTGGCACATGAATATCAAAACACAGTCTTCCATTTCGGTGAAAGTCAGTTCTCTGTAATAGTCTCCACGTATAAACAACGTCTTGTCGTTCATTTTTGTGAGCTTCACATTGTTTTTGGAACATAGTGATTCACTTCCTGTTAGATCTTCAAACGTTTCCAAATCTTCGCTTTCGAGTTCAACAATTTTGGTTGGATCCAAGTCGATAGTGGTGTTTGTGTTTCGACTTGTCTTACAAGTAACAACATTGTCTAAGTCCCCTTCAATATGCACGTTATCACTGTTCTTCACTATCAACTGTTGTACTGAGTTGTTCAAGAGCGACAGTTCACAGCCTTTACAATTGTTTATAATAAGTCTTTGACACCTTTTCATTGAATTCACGAACTTGAAATTATTGAGGTTTACCAACACAATTTCCTCAGACTCGTCTAAATCAATTGGCACATACGTTTCGATGGTGTTCAATATCGCTTTGTCGCAGACCATTGTCCCGTACCCAAAGTCGGACTCGGCAACTTCAATAATCCCACAGCGAGCAAAATCGGTGTCCACACTTCGACATCTTAAAAACACAATTTCACTCATCTTCACTCCAAACACACTCAAATTAATACAAGTGTCGAAAAACAGTTTGACACTCTTTTCACCCAAAACCCTTAATGTGCTTCTATCGCACTTCAAAAAATAGAGTCTCTGCTCTTTCATTGCACGTAGAGTGATTCTCATTTCTTTGTTGTTTTGAAAGACAAACTCGTTCAAACACTCGTTATTAAATTCGATAATACAGTTTTCGCAATATGTCATATAAAACAGTTTAAGTTTCTGTTGAATGTTCAGTCGAATAGTTTTGACCGCGTGTAACTCGAGTGTTGTTAAATTAATGAACGGCAATTGCGTATTTAAATTTTCCCACATCCGAACCATCTCATTTTGACTCTTAAAAAAAGACCAATCACCTTTTAACACATTAATTGTCTTCACTGAGTCAAGTCTGAGAATTACTAAAGACTTTGATTGAGTCAAAGTACACCCACTACACTCCAAATTAAGTTCTTTAAGTCCTTCAAATTCAATTTGACAGTTGAGCGTTCTGTTGTGCATCACCACTGCAAGTTTGTTGATGTACTTCCCCAATTTCAATCCATCAAAAAATGAATGTAAAGACATCCCATTACAGTTTAAAGACAGACTTGACGGAACAGCTTTATCTAACAGATCGAGAAGTGTCTCATTTGTGTCTTTCTCGTATAACACTATTTCAAAAGACCCATGCTGGAGTAATGGTATAATCCCGTTTTGATACATTATCAACGACATTTTGTATGAATAAAATGGGTACTTAAAGTCAATCTTTTTATCGGGTAGTGAAGACTTGTGGTATACAAATCCAATCTCCGTTTCAAGACCATCCAACAACTTGACTAAGTCTTTCAGTGAAGAGTGTTGTGACGCATACAACAAATTCACTAAACATCGTTTGGGGAAGAATTGGAGAGGTGTACTTGATTCTCTGAAAACAGTCACAAAAGCCTTGAAGTTGTCATAACTCATAATCACCGAATTCATTTTGTTGACCGACTGGACAAAAAGTGTGAAAATGGTTTTTTTAAAGCCCGTGTAATTGTCAAGTGGAATGTATATCGACTTTGTGTGTGGAGCTATTTGTGGTATGTCAGTATCGGCCAATGATGATGGATTCAAGTTTGTTACAACTTTTGCTGTCACTAAAATCGTTGGTGGAATAAGTAAACCACAACAGTTGATGGTATCTTGCTGAAATTTTTGATAGAATTTTACAACATGTTCGGGTGTAGTAAACCATGGATTTACTCGAAGACTTTTTGTGGCATCAAAACACTTTTTTGATACTCGGACAAAAGTAAAAAGAGTTTTTGTACTCTCAAAGTAGAGAATTACATTCATCAAGTAAACCATCTCCAAACTTTGAGTCATTTCATTTACTGTTTTATTAGTTTTATATTAAAACTTCTAATTTATCCACTTTTTACTTGTTTTTTTATTAATTTTTAATTTTTTAGTTATTAAATGAATTAAATCTATTAACTTCAAGTGAATGGATTAAATAACATTTTATAATAATTATTGTTTTTACAAAAACATTTGTCAACCTAATTGTTAAAATGTTTTAAACTAAGAACTTTTATTTTCTCATTTTTTTGATTTTATTTAGACCTTAAGCATCATTTAAAAATAGTTATGATTTAACTATATTATATTAATTAACTGTACCATATTTATAATACAATAATGAAACAAAGCAAATAGCATTTCCAAACTAATGATTTGTAAATTTATTAAATCAAAAGAATGAACAAGCAGAAAAGGGTCGGAACAGGGTGGAAATAAAAAAAAAGAAATTTTGAAAATAGAACCAAGTTATTTAGAAACAAAACTATTATGATATTAAACAATTGTCAAGTCGATTTCTAGCAAAAAGAAGACGACCCAGAGCATCACAAGACACATCATTATTTAGGAACACAACTTAAAAAGAGAAAGTCAATAAGACTACTTGAGATGTCTAAATCTATTCTTTCTTTTCTTAAACTCTTTTTTCTAACAGACACTTCGGTCCGCCCTGTGGTCGAAGGCAATTTTGCACAAATCATCAACTGCGACACCGTGGAGTTATTGTTCATTCGAATGTTTCCTCTACTAACAAAGTACATAAAAAACCCTTCGATTCCGTTTGAGCAAAAGAACGAGGTGATTCAAAACGTGATGACAAAGTTGAAACCCGAGAACACAAAATATTACTTAAGCTTGATCGAAGCAAATAGCGCCATTCTCGGAACATCAGAAGAAATCACTCCGACACTCAAAGAAGGGTTACAACAACTTCTGAATGATATGAGTGACGTCAAGAACACAATAGAATCAGAAGTACTCAAAAGCTCGACAGTGCCCCTCTTCCTTTCACAGTGCTTTGAGATTTTTAATATGTACAACACATCCCTCTCAAAGCAGTGCGTCATCCCAATACAAGAACTCTTGGAACCAATAGCACTCCCAGCTGAAGTCGTTGACAAGAAAATCCGAAGAGAAAATTTGAAATACAAGTTGTGCTCGTTGCTCCAAACAGCAGACCCTTTGAAGTTACAAGTCTTAGTTAAGGAATTGGACGAATCTCAATGTGAAGAGGGGATGGACTTCACTATCGATATTGACAAACTTGACTTGGACACACTCGACAGGTTTTGTCAGATTCTTGTTTGAACGTTCTGTTGGATTGAGTGTTATATTATCTTCTATGTAGTTCAATAATATCTTGTAGTAAAATTTATTAATAAATAATAAATTAAGTGCTAGTTCATCATTATTATATATTGTAGTTTCCGTGTTTTAATAAAAAATATGGTTACACAAACTATTAAAATAACAATTTTCAATTAATTATAAAGATGATAAATAGTATTAATAACTTGAAGATTATAATAAGGTGTAAAAAAAACTATGTATTAATTAATTTAATAATTATTAATTACATTTTAATACAGATATTTGGTATTCCAAAACATACACATGACAAGAAAGATAATTGGTAAACACTCAAAGATTCAATTATTAGAAATTAATAACAAAAATTAGAAAACAAATAGTTACAGTAGTGCAGATTGTAATCGATGGAATGAAAATAAATAAGTTTTATAAACTTGAAATAATTTCGATTTAGAAATACATAGAGAGCGATGTCAAACACCGAAGACGAAGAATTGGAAGTTGCACGTGACCTCTTTGACGAGATTGACACGGACAAAAGTGGAACAATTGACTTTGACGAGTTTTGTAGAGCATTAACTCAGTCAAACACTGTGGAAGATGTGGAGCCATTGAAACTCTTTTTTGGTCTATTGGACACTGACGATGACGGAGAACTGTGCTTTGCAGACTTTTATAAACTACTTACTATACTCAACCACATGCCAGACAAATCAGAAACTTCAATGATGACCGCGTTCTTCAATTTGGCGGATGGCGACGGAAATGGAACACTTGATGCCGACGAGGTTATTCGTTTGTGCAAAAAGATTGGATTTGCTCCGGGAGAAATGGATGTCAACCAATTCATTGAGGAAATTGACACCAATAAAGATGGAGTAATTCAACTTGACGAGTTTTTGGAACTGTTCAAGGATGAAGAAAAATAAACAGTTTTTTGTTGGTTTTGTCGTTGATAATAAATTGAATTTTTTAATATAAAAAACTTTTTAAAAAAGAATAACGCCAGTTTTGTTGATTGACTTGGACTGTTTTATTAATTCTGTTAAAATACAGTCATGCGAAAAAGCTGTCGCGATTGGAAAAACCTGTCTTGAAAAAATATTTTATAGTAAATTTATAATTACTTACTATACAGTATAGCTTCTATTCGATTTATTTGCAGGGTCATTTCACAAAAATCGAATAAAAATATTCGGCATTTCCAAATAACATTTTCTATTTCAGATCATTTGTTTATAGTACTAGAATAGTTCATTACCACCCGAGACAGGTTTTTCCAAACGCGACAGCTTTTTCGCATGACTGTATAAAGGAGTTTAAATTTAATTTTCTTATTACAGTGTTATTCACTGGGTTTTCGATTCCCACCATTTTCAATAATTATTAAGTCAGTTTATTAATTATTTAGTCAAAAAAATAAATTATTTCGTCACATATTTTAATTAAACACCACCTACAATTATTAGTCCAGCATAAATGATAAATAGATCGTTCAAAAAAATATTAATACCACCACAAATAATTTCAATATTATAATTTTTATATTTCATTCACAAAAATAAATAGGCGCACCACAAACTTATATGTTCACGTCATTTAGAATTATTAAGGTTTTTTCTGAATTATTTCATGTTCAACAAAAAAAAATAAAAATCAACATTAAAACTATTTCAAAGTATAATGAACCTAGCATCAGTAGATCACGTTGATCTCACAGATTCAAGTGTACGGACCGATTATAGACAATTAACGCCTACACCTCTACTAGGTACTCTGCTCCAATCATTTGCAATTCAACTATTCATTCCGTCTCCAATACAACCAAATCCAAGATGAAGACCGAAGAAATTTGGGCCAGAACATTCAGAACACTAAAAGCACCAATACACTAAAATTGGTTTGAAGCTCAAGCAACTGTTTGTTGAAGAGTCTAGAAAGAAACCTGACCAGAAACATGAAAATTTTTAACAGACTTTTGGAATACCTATTCATTGCGCTGCTTTGCTGACAAAGTTGATGAAAGTGTGAAGTATATATTCTTTGAACCATTAAAACCGCATTACTCATTTCATTCACATTGTTAAACAGCATTTCAAAATAATTACACGAAATTAATGCTACAATTCAAAAATGTAGAAATGAAGTTTGGAGAAAGGTGTATGCTCAAGATAATCTTTAAATTAATTTCATTGTAATATTTTTTTTATAACATTTTATAAAGAAATAATTTATTTTTTTGTTGAACATGAAATAATTCAGAAAAAACCTTAATAATTCTAAATGACGTGAACATATAAGTTTGTGGTGCGCCTATTTATTTTTGTGAATGAAATATAAAAATTATAATATTGAAATTATTTGTGGTGGTATTAATATTTTTTTGAACGATCTATTTATCATTTATGCTGGACTAATAATTGTAGGTGGTGTTTAATTAAAATATGTGACGAAATAATTTATTTTTTTGACTAAATAATTAATAAACTGACTTAATAATTATTGAAAATGGTGGGAATCGAAAACCCAGTGAATAACACTGTAAGATAAAACAAAAGAACAAAGTTTGTTCTTGACTCTTTTTCAAAGTCCATAATTTTTGAATTATAAATATGATTAATTTTATTATTGAAATACATTATTTTATTTCATACCAATTTGTACATTTTGAAGTAAAATGGAAATTCAATTCATTAGTATAGTATATTTATCACCCAGTTTGGTTCAAGTCTTTTCAACAGTTTTTGGTAGTTTAGACTTGTTCAATACAAAGTTGTGGTTTGTGCAATTAAAACTGAAATAAGGATGAAATGAAAATGATTACTGCATTTTTGTTTTCAATAAATTATACAACAAGTTTTTTTAATTAAAAACTTCATATGATTAAAATATGATTGTTTAAATCGAAATATTTTTACTTTTTTTAAGCAAAAAAAAATCGTAAAAAAAAGTTGATAAACAAAACAATAGAATAGCATTTTTTGAACAATAATACTTATAATTAATTATAAAAGAAACAGAACTTAAAAAAGAAAACAAAGAGGGATTTTTTATGTTTTTTAAAGATTATATTATAAGATAAAAGTAACTATGGAATGCATAGGTAAACCCAGAAGTGCTTATTCCACTCTTTAATATTTGGCAACTCATAATATTTAGTCATTGTCGTGCATATTAGAAAAGTTTGGATAACATTTTAAAAAGTTACATATGCTATATAAACCTCTGTTTGAGATCTTAAAATATATGAGTAAAGAGTTCGAATTAACACTTATTGGTGCGAACCAGTTAGAAATCTCTGATGTTGTTGCACACTCCTCTGACCCGTATGTCAAATTTGAGACCTCTGGCACCAAAAAGCAGAAGACCAAAATAATCAATGCGAACATCAACCCATATTGGAACCAAAGATTCGACATTAAAGCCAACTTTGGAGAAGAGATTAAGTTTGAGATATACGACCATGATGTCATTGGAAAGGACGACAAGATTGGGACAACATCTTTTGTTGTGCCACAAATGGACAATCAAGAGTTCTATTATGATGTTCTTCCCGTTTCTAAAAAGGGATATTTATACATCTGCTTAAAATGCACTAAAGGAGGTGTTCCCTTCAAGAGACCAATTACTTCAGCTGATGAATGTGTCTTGTTCTTTTCCAAAATTTCATTTGTCTGTGAGATCCAACCACGCCTAGCAACATTGGAACTGAAAATAGAAGGAAAGAAAGACCAGGAAACACTTGCTTTTAACTTGTGCACTTGTATGATTTCTGAAGGATTCTATGTCAAGTGCAAACCAAACGACAAGATAACCTTCAAATTGAACCAAGTTGGTCTGTTCAGTGATTCTGGAATTTCATCAGCTAAATACATTGTGCCAGACTTCAGAGAAAAGGAAGACGAGACTGAAAGACTTCCATTAAAAAAGATTGGCTCAATGAACTTTAAAGTCACATGTGTCAGAAGTGTCTATCACAGCGCATTCCCTAATCAAATTCCACAAAAGGAAGATATGGGCCTTGCACAAGTGAGTAAGATCTACATTTACATAGAGAAGGCGGTTGGAATCAAAGCTAAAGATATTGGAGGAACAAGTGATGCTTATGTCAAGATGAAAACATCGACAGGCAAAGAAAAGAAGACTTATATTGCACCGCCCTCTGTTAATCCAGTTTGGGCTAAAAACATTAAGACCAAAGTGCAAATGGGCGAAGAAATTACTTTCAAATTGTTTGATCATGATATAATTGGAAAAGATGATAGCTTGGGAGATGCCAAGCTTCATATCACTGAAATGAATGGCTCATGGAAAAAAGCTACTTTGGACATCTCAAAGAAAGGAAAGTTATACATCGAATACAAGTGGGTCAGAGGTATCTCTGGAATGTATCACGCTATTACTCATGGTGGTCCTATGCCTATGGCACAACCTATGTATCCTCAACAACCTCCTATGGGTCAATACCCTCCTATGGGATATCCTCCTCAACAACAATTCCCTCAACAACCAATGGGTCAATATCCACCTATGGGATACCCACAACAACAACCACCAATGGGGCAGTATCCACCTCAAGGTTATCCTCCTCAACAATACCCTCCACAACAACCTATGGGTCAATACCCTCCTCAAGGTTATCCAATGCAACAACCACCAATGGGTCAATACCCACCACAAGGCTATCCTCCACAGCAATTCCCTCCACAAAAATAAGCATTTTTGAAAACGGTATTTTTGGTTCTATTTTAATAGATTTCTCAACCGATATAAATAAGCAATATATTGGCTCGAAAGAATAAAATCTGTTCTATTATGTTACATGTAATCGAAATTTTATAGAACTCGTAAAACTAAAAACACATTCTAAAAAATGGAACACTCGTATAAGCCTGTGGAGTTAACGACGGACACTATCCCACTCACTAAAGAACATTACACAAGAGGTCTCGATCTTTTGGTTGAAGGGAAAGCTGCATTAATAACACTTGCAGGAGGCCAAGGAAGTCGACTTGGATTTGAACATCCAAAAGGGATGTTTGTCATCCCTCTTAAAAATCCAATTTCTCTGTTTGGTGTTATTGCTGCGCGACTTCTGTGTCTTCAGAAACTTGCGAATGCACATGCGAATATTACAACAACAAAATTGCACTGGTTTTTGATGACAAATGAAGAAACAACAGAGGAAATCAAAACATTCTTTAAAGATCACAACTTCTTTGGATTGTGCGAAAATCAAATCCATTTCTTCCCTCAAGGTATGCTTCCTGTCACTGATTTCAACGGTAAAACATTATACAGAGCACCAAATGAGCCGTTTATGGCACCAAATGGACATGGTGGCTTATATAAAGCACTGGAAGACAGTGGTAATCTTGACTTTATGGAGAAGAGTGGCATTAAGTACACTGTTGTTCAAAACGTCGATAACTTTTTGGGTAAATCGTTAGACCCCTTTTTTATTGGATACATAGACATTCTGAAAGCGGACATTTGCATCAAATCTGTCAAGAAAAGTTTCAAAGAAGAGAAGATGGGAATGTTTGTGGAAGAAAATGGGAAGATTAAATGCGTTGAATACTCGGAACTACCAGAAGAGTTGAATGGATATAACGAAAAGGGGGAGTTCATATTTTCGAATGGACACATCTCACTTAATTGTTACACTGTTGATTACTTAAGAAAGGCCGCACACACACAATTGCCATTCCATATAGCAAAGAAGAAAGTAGGGTATATCGATGAAACTGGAAAACACATTGAACCGAAGAAGGAGAATGCAATTAAAAGTGAAATGTTCTTCTTTGACGCATTTTATTTGGCTGAAAAAATCATATTACTTGGAATTCAGAGAGAAGAGGAGTTCGCCGCAGTTAAGTATGGGATGGATGAAAAACTTGAAAACGTCGAGACTGCGATCAGCGACTATTACAAACACAACGTGAAGTATTTGAGAAATGTTGGTGCTATTGTAGACGATTCTAAGAGTAATATATGTGACATCTCATTCACTAGAACTTTCAATGGTAATAATTTAGAAGAGTTTAAAGGAAAAACTATTCAACTGCCATTCTACTTGGAATAATTAAAAAAGTATTACAATTGTTAGTTTGTGTTAATTTAATTTTTACTAAAAAGTTCTATTAATTTTTAATTAGTGTTGTTTAAACTTGTAACAAACTAATAGTGTTGATTTTAAATATTTGTAACTATTTAGAATCAATTATTTGAACAAAAAAATTGTTTTGATAAAAAAATAATCGCAAATTGTAACACAATTGAAAATATTACATTTCTTAGAATATATTATTTTTATTATTATTTGTTAAAGAATCACCAGTTTTGTGATTATAGTACTTAATCAGCTCAATCAAATTTGTTAAACAAGAAAAATGAAGCTTTGTTATTTATTTAAAGTTTTACATCTTCTAACAAACAATTTGGTTATTTAAAGATTATCAGTGTTTTTTGCTTCATATAAAATATTAAAGTTTTTTCAGTCTTCTTTTCAAAACATAGTTTAAGAGTATAAAATTTAAATATTACAACTTTTTCAATAACGCAAAAAATATACACTAAATAAACATGTCAATAGTTCTTTAAACATTTTAGAACTCACTTGTAACTTTTTTATATTTTTAAAGTGTTTTAATACAATAAAAAGATAACACATTTCAATATAATGTTTCACTTTTAATAAAAAGACTATTGAAAGAAATAACGTAAATTATTTTTTTTACAATAAAAGGATATAGAGTTGGGGAAAATAATAAATGGAAGAAGAGCAGAAATGTACCTATTGTGACCAGACATGTGGCATTAAATGTGAAGACTGTGGAAAGTACTTTTGCAACGGACGAATACTTAATCATTCGTTTAGTCAAATACTGTTCCATTTGAAGTGCCAACACCACAAAAATGTTTCACTCAAAGGTGAGATAATCAAATGTTCCAAATGTGGCGATTCAAACATATTTAACCTGAAATGCAATGTGTTGAAAGAAATTTTTTGTCACGTCTGTCTCAGAAATGACACAGTCGTTCCTGAAATCGAAAAACCCGCCTATGAATTTTCTCTTGTTGGAGAAACTAAGTTGAGTCAACACTATTTTGGAGAAGATGAAGAGGGGAGTGATGTCGACAAAAAGGAAGTGAGAGCAATAGAAAACGTTGTGTATGGTGATTGGGATGGAACACAAATTGCCAACTATTACAAAGACACAGAAGAGTATCAACTCACATACGACTATTTGATAGAACAAGAAGACGAAGTTGATGATAAAAGAAATGTAATAGAAGACTGTTACAAATCAACAGAAACACTTTTCACTAATTGGCAAAATACTCAGCCACTGAAACGACTCAAAATGTTCAAAATGTGCAACGTACAAGGGGTGGACAAATGGTATGTACAACTGAAGTTGTGGGAAAAGAAAACTTTTATAAAAAAGAATATGGTTGTGGTTTTTACGTTTGGTGGACCAGCTGGACTTGTCAATGAAACCAATTTTGAGTCGTTTGAAAATCATGACGATGAAAATGAGCTTATCAGACTTACAGAAAAAGTTGATCATTTTGCCATTTCAACTGTCGTCAGAATTAGTCAAGACTCTGTTGAGATGTATGTGAAAGAAAATTTGTTCAAATCAAAAGTGTTGAAAGAGAAGACAAAAATGACTGAGGAACTAGCCAAAAGTAAATTAATCAGAATTTACTTTATTTGCCATTCACAACAAACAACCAGAATTAGGTTTAACGAGTTTGTAGAACAAGAAGAAGGAACAGAAAAGATGTCTCTAATTCTTGGAAATGACAATCCAGGAAAAAAATCAGAAGATGATATATACCAATCAAAAGACATTTACTCCAAAAAGACTAAATTAAATGAGACGCAAAAAAATGCAGTTTTAAATGCAATGAATAATCCAATAAGTGTTGTCATAGGTCCACCAGGTACTGGTAAAACCAAATGTGCGGCTGTAGCTACAATATCTTATTTAGAAGCTTTAAAAAGAGAAGATGATAATAGTGGAAGAGCACACTCTACCAGAAGAGCGCTTTGTGTTGCTTCTTCAAATTCTGCAACCGAAGTATTTGCAAATTACTGTTCAGAAGAAGACCTTACTGTTGTCAGAATTATTCCATATGACTCAATTGGAGATATGACCAAAGATGTGGTGGATAAATCTATCTACCAACGTGCTTTAGACTATGCAAAAGAATTGAATGGTGATGTGACTGTAAAACCAAAACCCTTTAAAGTCTCAGAAGTCAAACTGATTCAACAAGTACATCCCAAACCCCTAAAACCAACTCCCATTGTAAAGAAAGTTGAAATCGAGAAAGACTCCGAAATGCAAGAAGTTGCTCCTTCAAAACCAAAGCCCAAAGCTAAAACCCAAACACACAAAGGTGTATCAAAGATTGATGATAAAAAAGATGATATACGACATCAAATTGTCCCAAGTGTTCCCCAGTTTAAAAGTGATCCCCATCCCAAGAAACATCCAAAATCCACGAAAGAACATCAACCCCCAGCAATAGTTCAACAATTGGAATTTATTCTAGAAAGGTCTAATTGGGGAGACTACGATAACCAACGAAAAATTGATTCTTACAGGAAATCAATTGATGGGTTTGTTGAAACTCATTTGATGGAGATCATTGGAGACGCTGACTGTGTATGTGCGACAAGTAATATGATCATGTCAAGGAAACTTGATGGACTCAAATTTGATCTGTCTGTCTTGGACGAAGCAGGACAAGTACTTGAACCGCAGAGCTTTGTTACTCTTTGTCGTGGACAAAAAAGTATTTTACTTGGTGACTTACAACAATTAACTGCGGTAGTCAAGAGTGAAGCAGGTAAAAAGGCCAAATACGACAAATCAGCCATGGAACGGTTTATTCGAATGGGTAATGTACCCGTCACCAATTTAAATCAACAATATAGAATGGACAGAGGGATGCACGACTTTTGTAGTTCAATGTTTTACAATGGAGAACTGCAATACGCTAAAAGGGATGTTAAGCAAGATGAAAAAACACTCGAAGTGTTGGGAAATATTTTCGAACAAGACGAGAAGAAGTGTTTTCCACTCATCTTCATCAATCACAAAGGCACGGAATCGTCTTCGGAACAAAACATGAGTCTTTTCAATGAAGAGGAACATATGATTGTGTTGGGACTCCTTGAAAAAATGACAAAAGAAATACATGTGAGTGAAGAAAACATAGCAGTGATCACACCATATTTTAGACAGAAGTCATTGATCCAACAACGACAAGTAACAAAAGTGAGAATTGAAACTATTGATGGGTTTCAAGGTAACGAAAAAGACTTTGTGTTTGTCTCGACTGTGAGGTGCAACAAAAAAGGTGGCCCTGGATTTATGGGTAATTACCATCGAGTCAATGTTAGCTTGACAAGAGCAAGAAAAGTGTGTGTTGTTGTGGGTAATAAAAAAACTCTTAAAAGAGCAGAAGTCTGGAGACGCTTCTTTAACTATATTGCCAAAAATGATTCATACTACGTATGGGAAAACAAAAGGTTGAGACACAAAAGTATTAAAGTAAATGATAAAGACGAGTATACTAAATTCAGTGGAAGAAAGGCTTAGGAGTAATTTAGTTGGGTTGTTTAATTGTTGTGGATGGTGTACGAAGCGTACGTTACATACGACTAAATAGAAGATTGGAAGTCAAAGTGTATAAGATAGAAACAAATTGGTTAAAAAAACTATATATTTTACAATTCAATAGAGTAGTTAATTCATATAATAAATAAATTATAAAGTATAGTATTTTTAATTGTTCCAAAGTTTTATTGACTTTCATTTAACGTCCGAAAAGGTCTAAAAATGTTTTATCATAAATACATTATATTAGTAATTAATTTATTTTTATTATTCATTTATTAGGTATTAAAAACGAAACAACAATTACAAAAAAATGGTATTAAAAACTCAAATTATCTCTAAAAGTATCAAATGTATAAGCCTGTAAATCCAACGACGGACACTATCCCACTCACTAAAGAACACTATAAAAATGGACTTAAACTATTGAGCGAAGGGAAAGCTGCATTAATAACACTTGCAGGAGGCCAAGGAAGTCGACTTGGATTTGAACATCCAAAAGGGATGTTTGTCATCCCTCTTAAAAATCCAATTTCTATTTTCGGAACAACAGCTGCGCGACTTCTGTGTCTTCAGAAACTTGCGAATGCACATGCGAATATTACAACAACAAAATTGCACTGGTTTTTGATGACAAATGAAGAAACAACAGAGGAAATCAAAACATTCTTTAAAGATCACAACTTCTTTGGATTGTGCGAAAATCAAATCCATTTCTTCCCTCAAGGTATGCTCCCTGTCACTGATTTTAACGGTAAAACACTTTACGAAGAAATAGGAAAGCCGTTTATGGCGCCAAATGGACATGGGGGACTTTATAAAGCATTGGAAGATAATGGCGTGTTGGATTTTATGGAGAAGAGTGGCATTAAATACACTGTTGTTCACAATGTCGATAATATAATGAACAAAGCTATTGATCCAAACATGATCGGGTATATGGATTTGTTACACTCTGACATTTGCATCAAAGTAGTGAAGAAAAGTTTCAAAGAAGAGAAGATTGGAATTTTAGTTGAAGAAGATAAGAAGGTGAAGTGCGTTGAATATACTGAATTAACAGAAGAGTTGAATAAGATTAAAGACAATGGCGATTTTGAATATGGAAGTGGACACATCTCAATCAACGCCTATACTACAGAGTTCTTTAAAAAGGCCGCACACACACAATTGCCATTCCATATAGCCAAGGAGA